CACTCTCTCTCCCTCCCTCTCCCTCCCCCACTCTCTCTCCCTCCCTCTCCCTCCCCCACTCTCTCTCCCTCCCTCTCCCTCCCCCACTCTCTCTCCCTCCCTCTCCCTCCCCCACTCTCTCTCCCCTCCCTCTCCCTCCCCCACTCTCTCTCCCTCCCTCTCCCTCCCCCACTCTCTCTCCCTCCCTCTCCCTCCCCCACTCTCTCTCCCTCCCTCTCCCTCCCCCACTCTCTCTCTCTCCCTCTCCCTCCCCCACTCTCTCTCCCTCCCTCTCCCTCCCCCACTCTCTCTCCCTCCCTCTCCCTCCCCCACTCTCTCTCCCTCCCTCTCCCTCCCCCTACTTCGCCCCAAGTGTACTTGTAAATATATATTTTTATAATGTGAATATATATATATATATATATATATATATATATATATATATATATATATATATATATATATATATATTTTCACATGTGTGTGTGTGTGTGTGTGTGTGTGTGTGTGTGTATATATATATGTGTGTGTGTGTGTATATATATGTGTGTGTGTGTGTATATATATGTGTGTGTGTGTGTATATATGTGTGTGTGTGTGTATATATGTGTGTGTGTGTAGATATGTGTGTGTATATATAATATATTTTTATAATGTGATATATATATATATATATATATATATATATATATATATATATATATATATATAATATGTATGCTTGTGTGTAATGTGTACATGTCTATGTGCTTATGTCTGTGTGTGCATATATATTGAATTATTATGTTGTATACACACACACACATACACATACACATACACATACATATACATACATACGTCCACACATATATATATACATATATATATATATATATATATATATATATATATATATATACATATACATATACATATACATATACATATACATACATATATTTACATTCATGTATACACATACATGTATATGTATACACATACATATACATGTATATGTATACACATACATATACATGTATATGTATACACATACATATACATGTATATGTATACACATACATATACATGTATATGTATACACATACATATACATGTATATGTATACACATACATATACATGTATATGTATACACATACATATACATGTATATGTATACACATACATATACATGTATATGTATACACATACATATACATGTATATGTATACACATACATATACATGTATATGTATACACATACATATACATGTATATGTATACACATACATATACATGTATATGTATACACATACATATACATGTATATGTATACACATACATATACATGTATATGTATACACATTCTAGAAAGACAGATAATACATATACGTGCATATTTATACCTTGCACATACATATTCACACACACACTCACATACACATTCACATTCATATACATTTACACATACATATATACCTTTTTACAGATGAATGAGAGAGAGAGAGAGAGAGAGAGAGAGAGAGAAGGGGGGGGCTCTCTCTTCAAAGGTTACCAAGTACAAGCCACGCTCCACCCAAAGCAGTCAGAAAGCCCGAGCACATTAGACTGAAATCACGTCTCTTTTGAAACTATTAAAAAAAAAAAAAAAATACATTTCTCACGGGATGCTAAATATTGGATGTTGGGGATAATAGAAAAGGAAAAATATACATTAAAGATTAAAAAGATCGATTTAATTGGCTGCATAAATGTGGCGATAATAAACTAACCGGCTTCCCCCCCTCCCTCCCTCCCTCCCTCCCTCCTCAGCACATGTCGCCCGCTGTTCTTGTCGTTTTTGTCGATTTCTGGCGTCGCTGTCCGCCTTTCGCCCGAACTCGACTGTTTGTTTGTTTTTGTTTGTTTGGTTCCTTTTGTGGACGTTCAAGGAATTCGATAGATGGGGATGCATTACAATCCTGAGCAATTTGTTGAGCGGAGGATAGAGAGAGAGAGAGAGAGAGAGAGAGAGAGAGAGAGAGAGAGAGAGAGAGAGAGAGAGAAAGAGGGAGGGAAAAGGGAAAAGGGAGGGAGGGAAGACGGGAAGAAAGATGGGGAGAGAGAGAGAGAGAGAGAGAGAGAGAGAGAGAGAGAGAGAGAGAGAGAGAGAGAGAGAGAGAGAGAGAGAGAGAGAGAGAGAGAGAGAGCCGGCTCGTCGTTTTTGTTGTTGTTGTGGATGGCGGTGGTCGGGGGAGGGAGGGGGAGGTGGGAGAAAGGGGGGGTTAAAAGGGGGTAGAGAGAGAGAGAGAGAGAGAGGGGAGGAGAGGAGGATGGGGGGTTTGGGAGGGGAGGAGGAGAGAAGAGAGCGATGCGGATTCTCAGAATGTTTCGTTTCCGTTCCGAAATTGGTCGGCGTTGGTAAACATGGCGATCGACCTGTATACTTCCTTTGTCTGCTCAACTGAAGTAAATCCGGATGTGCGAGTTAACTTGTCTACGGACGAACTGCGCTTGTGATGGGTCGAGGAGGTCGATAGGTTTTCTTTCTGATCGTTTCGTGGCATGAGGTTGACGAATTCGACACAAAACTCGACGTCATTTATACTTCTACCTCCACCTAGGGTTTTCTACGCACCTACGGATTACCAATCCCGCGCGGCGACCCGGGAGGCAGAGATTACTTCGTTTTACCCTCTTCTTTGAGTCGATTTCTTATGAGATCATGATGTATGAGATTAGTATTATATTTAGATGTTGATGAGGAAATTGTTCCGAGAATGTTCAAAACTGTCGGATTGGTAATGTGTTGCGTTAGGTTGGCAAGACTGATCACGCCACAACACTGCCAGCGTGGAGTCGATGGGAAAAATTAGCGCGGAACTTAAATTCGCGCTCCGGTTCATAAATTCGGGAAATAGGCCCTTTTGAAGAATTGTTCATTTAATTGTAATATGGTCAACTTACCGGTTATATAGAGTGGGAACTTGAAGATAATGTGTTTCATTTGATGATAATTAGCTTTTATTGATATGGCGGCACTGGAAGGTTAGGAATCATGGAGTAGTATTAAGTATAACTGTACTGACAGCTTCCGGCGATCGCTTTAGTTTGCAGATTATATTTTTAATGTAGTTTTCCAATGTATCCTAATACGAAAAATGCATCGAATCTTCCTTCTGTCAGTAGAATCGGCCAGAATCTTTTCTGATGTAATTGGAAGGTTCTATTTGTTGGCGTTTAAGTTAGCGCGAGGCGACGCTATGTTGTTGCCACAAGCCACTCGCATTTTCCACAAAACCTTTTTCAAAAGATGATAGGAGGCAAATACACTACTGTATCCATTCCAAACGCCCAACAGTGAATATAAATAGGCATAAGAGTGTCTTTTGATCCATAGAATTTGTATAAATTAGGCCAAATTGTGTTGGATGGCGACGCGTCGCAGGCCAGCCGGGCAGATAGCCGGCACATATAAGCGGGCGTCTCCGAGCGTTGGGTGCAGTTCGCCATAAGAGAGAGAAATGGATAGATAGGAGTGTCACGCGCGCCAACGGGATCTTTTCCTACCTTTTCTAGCTTTCCCAAAGCTGGTTAAAATCACACGGCTGGTACTACTACATCCCAAGGGCAAGAGTGCGGCGCCAGCAAGTGTCTAAGACGTGATAGTGCAAAAGGGCCCCACAGCGGCGGTTTTGGAGGGTCTAGTCAAGCATCGCCAAGTGCTACTCAAGAATCTGTGATTTTCTTATTTTACTTCCCCCACTGATTGTGATATATATAAATCTTCGCTCATTGATAACCTACAAACCGTCAAGATGGTGCAAGGTACGTTGTTTTCCCCAATGGAGTGGTGTGGTTAGCGTTATCCCCGATTCTTTACACCAAAACCCCCTTCCGAAATGTGAAAGTTTTTTGTTGTTTTCGTGAAAGTCGAGCGGCCTTCATTGTGTGTTATCGTGTGCTGTGTTACTCTTGTGCGTGTGTTTTGCGTGTTATGTTAACAATAACTGGATGCTGAGTGTCGTTGGTGAATGAGAAAGTACATATTAAAAGGTGTAGTTAAATGTGTGTGTGTGTGTGAGAGAGAGAGTGTGTGGTGTCACTCGCTCTTCCTGTATTCCCTCTTTGTAATGTATCGGAACGAGTGAATATTTCCACGAAATGTAGTCCTAGAAAGAGGTGTGAGGTGCTGATGTGGAAATGACTTAGTGAATGAGGTAGAGAGTTGGATAGAGAGAGAGAGAGGAGGAAGAGAGGAGGAGGTGGTGGAGGAGGAGTTGTTGGTGCTGATGTGCCACAGTTCGTAAAGGTGCGTCCTATTTCGCTGTTTGTCGTGAATTTTGTCTCTCCTACAATGCCTCTGAATCCAGCAAACTCCAAAGTTTTGTTAGAAAAATGCAAAGAAATGATAGCGAAGAGGAGAGGAAGGAGCGAAAGAGGGAGAAACAGAGAGGCGGGGGAGGGTGGGGGGGCGGTAAGCGAGAGAGGCTTGGCAACACCGAGGCCATGTTGGTTCCATGTTGCTGTCGTTGTTGCCAATTTCTAGGCCGCCGGAGTCACTCTTTCTGGAAGGTTCCTTGTGAGTTTGCGCCATGCAGTATCTCTCTCTCTCTCTCTCTCTCTCTCTCTCTCTCTCTCTCTCTCTCTCTCTCTCTCTCTCTCTCTCTCTCTCTCTCTCTCTCTCTCTCTCTCTCTCACTCATCATCCTCTCTTTCGTTTTGATCAGCTGTTTCTCTCTCTCTCTCTCTCTCTCTCTCTCTCTCTCTCTCTCTCTCTCTCTCTCTCTCTCTCTCTCTCTCTCTCTCTCTCTCTCTCTCTCTCTCTCTCCCCCCTTACCCCCACCCCCTCACCCTCCTGTTCTGGTGTGAAATTCTGGTCACGGGATTTGAGGAAGACCGAAGGATGGATCAATTGCAGAGCTGGTTTCGGTCACGTAGCATATGTTGGGAGGGCATGTTTCACTACATACGATTTGCAATTTGTCCCCTCATTTCTTTCGAGAATGTTTCGTCTTGTGCTTTTGTCACAAGACCTGCGTTGGGGTTGTAAATTAAACGAGCTTGGGTAAGAAATTTTAGTTAAATCCATCCGGGTCAAGTTGCCTCGTTGTTTCAGTTTGGGTGGGTGTTTGTGTCAGTTTCAAAGTCTTATCTGATAACGATTTTAATTAGATGTTTAAATAATACGTACCCTGAACTGTTATCTGAAAAGTTACTTATTGATTAGCTTTACTGGGAATGGAAAAGTATTCACGTCATTAAAGTATATTGTTTATGTGCATCAGATGATCACATAGCAACAAGGATAGTCTCGTATTGCAAGGTTGAAGGGATGTTGCTATAGGTCACGAAACCGCTGTACTGTATACGATGGGAGGTCTAAAGGCTTATTGGTAATGTTATGGATAGTGTATCGATATAATTCTAGAATTAATCAATTTCGTTTAGCATAATTTGAAATGAGGATTAATCAAAGTAACTGAAGAAAGAGTCTGGGCGGTTTGTTTTGAAAATGAAGTTGATGCTGGGACGGGGCAGCGCGGTGGCGTGGGTGCGGCGAAAGTCTACGGGATTTGCACGCCCCCGCCTTTGCAACCTCTGCCTCTGCCTCTGCCTCCGCGCTTTGACTTCATTGCATGCCGAGGCGTCGACGAGGCTTGGCGCGGTTGCAACTAGACTGGCTTAGTTGTTGTTGCTGTAGTACACTGTCGTACAATATTGTTTGTATCATTTCTCTCTCTCTCTCTCTCTCTCTCTCTCTCTCTCTCTCTCTCTCTCTCTCTCTCTCTCTCTCTCTCTCTCTCTCTCTCTCTCTCTCTCTCTCTCTCATCACGCATTTGAGCTAAATATAGAGATGATTTTTAGTAGTAAGGCAGGACTTGGCAGTTGTGGCAGGGTAAAAAGAGCCATGGAGGGAGAAGGGAAGTAAGGGAAACGTGGAGATAAAAAAGGAGACAGGAGAGGAGAGAGAGAAGGGGGGTGAAGGGGTAGGGGTAGGTAGTCAATGTGGGCCAGACAGACCACGAGGTTATGTTGGCAGGGAAGACCCCGATGTTGCGTTGGCAGGCTGGGGGGAAGGGGGGGGGGGTTAGGTAGCAAACATGGCCGACGGAGCTGCTGCCGCCTTGCCCCTCGCTCGTGTGGGTCGGCGGTGTGAAAATAGGTGTAGTGGGTTTTAGGCTGGTTTCTTCCTGTTACAGGGATTTTTGTTAATGGGGGTGGTTTGTTTTGGTTTGATGTAAGGGTTTGGGATCTCTCTCTCTCTCTCTCTCTCTCTCTCTCTCTCTCTCTCTATATATATATATATATATATATATATATATATATATATATATATATATATATATTATATATATATATATATATATATATTATATATATATATATTTATATTAGATATATATAAATATCTATATCTATTTGTTTATTTCTGCCTTTCTATTTCTCTCTTGTCTTCATCTTTTTCTCTGTTTTATAGTACGGTGTCCAAAGTTGTTGTTGCCAAAGTGTGTGTGCGTGCGTGTGCGTGTGTCTCGAGTGTTGCATCAGACGTCAGAGTTCCCGGTACAGAGCGAGAGCCACGAGTGATATTTTTACCCTGCCGCAAGCTCTGCCAGTGAGAAAGGAGAAATTAATTCACGTCCATGTGCATTTCCTTTTAGCGATTGTTGTTGCCATGTAAATACTTTGGATTTTTTTTTTTTTTTTTTTTTTTTTTTTTTTTTTAATTCGCTTAATTTGACCTTTTGAAGTTCTATGAAATGTTTTAGCGGAATTAAGAGCAGTTTAAAGTTTCCCTTGCTGAATGTTGCATTTTCCCTTGTTGTAGGAGACGTTACAAGTGTTCTGAGAGACACGACCAACATGGAGCAGGTGCGCGAGGAGGCGAAGGAGAGACGTAAGAGGAGGAAGAAGAAGCGTTCCGGCTCCACCCTTATTGCCAGTGTCTTTAGTGGTGAGTTTCCCCTGCCGCTTGTCGAGTCTGTGTGGTCGGGCTGTCGATATTCGCGAGGGAATGTTAAAGGAATTATGTATATTATGTATATATTTTTTGCATTATTATTTTTTTTCTTTGTGTTATAAACTGCAAGTGAACAGTTAGTCGATTCCAAGCGTCTAAATCTTTTGTTTTCTCTCTTGGCAGATTTGTACAAACTTACTGGTGAGGTGTTGGGACAGGGTGCATATGCTTCAGTGCAGACGTGTGTCAACATCTATACAGATATAGAGTATGCTGTCAAGGTGAGTGTAGATCCTGCGGACTCTGCATGCATGATAGGAAAGCTGCATTGACATTTGTTTTGATGAGCATACATAAATGTGCGTTAAGTGTCGTGTTCCGCGTGAAGTAACGTTTCCCCCCGCCCTCTCCCCCCAGATTATAGAGAAGGTGCCAACACACAGCCGGACGCGAGTCTTCAAGGAGGTGGAGATGTTCCACCACTGCCAGGGGCACAAGAACATCATCCAGCTGGTGGAGTTCTTCGAGGAAGACGACAAGTTCTACCTGGTGTTCGAGAAACTGTACGGCGGCCCCCTGCTGTCCCACATCCAGAGACGGACGCACTTCACCGAGGCCGAGGCGTCCATGGTGATCCGGGACCTGGCCTCGGCGCTGGCCTTCCTGCACAGCAAGGGCATCGCCCACCGGGACCTCAAGCCGGAGAACATCCTGTGCGTGTACCCGGACCAGCTGTGCCCCGTCAAGATCTGTGACTTCGACCTGGGCTCCGGCATCAAGTTCAACTCGAACCTGAGCTCCCCAGTGATGACGCCACAGTTGCTCACGCCCGTCGGCTCGGCAGAGTTCATGGCGCCCGAGGTGGTCGAGGGCTTCATCAGCGACGACGCCGGGCCCTACGACAAGCGCTGCGACCTGTGGTCGCTCGGCGTGGTCACCTACATCCTGCTGTGCGGCTACCCGCCCTTCTGCGGCAACTGCGGCGAGGACTGCGGCTGGGAGCGGGGCGAGGCGTGCCCGCAGTGCCAGGACCTCCTGTTCAACAACATCCAGGACGGCAGCTACGAGTTCCCGAAGCCCGAGTGGGCCTTCATCAGCGAGGAGGCCAAGGACCTGATCCGCAACCTGCTGGTCAAGGACGCCTCGCAGAGACTGTCTGCCGAGATGGTGCTCAACCATCCCTGGGTCAGGAACGGGGGGCCCACCACGCGCCTCGAGACGCCCAGTGTCATCAGGAAGTAAGTCCCGAACACACATCTCTTATTACAGTTTACGATGGTCATGACTGTAGTGTTGAAGGCATTTAGATAAAACGCCTGTGCAGTTCTAGTTAGCGATGCAACATTTTCCAGCAGAGTTGTAGGACCCTTTTCTGTCCCGAGGGCAGCACTAACCCCCGACTTTCTTCCGCAGGAACCACAGTGCGCAGCAGCTGTCGCTGTTCGCCGAGTCATGCATGGCCCTGAACCGCGTCCTTCTGCAGCATTTCAGCATGAACCAGGATGAGGACAATGAGAACCTGGACAAGGACCCGCCGTTCGGGCTGTCGCCGCCCTCCGAGTCGCGGCTGGCCCAGCGGCGGCTGCGCTCGCTCAGCCTCAACACCGAGCACCTCGTTACTGCCACAGGCTAACTGGCCCCCGCGCCAGTCACTCAGGGTCAAGGGGGCTGCGCTCCACCCGAACCAGCGTGGCTGCGGCGCCCCCTTATATATAGTTTTCATCGTTGTTTTTGGCTTACACGCCCTCCGGCGCCTGGGAGGCGGCCTCGCTGCTTGCGGGCCCCGGGCGGCCTCGTGTTGGTGAGGGCGCGCGGAGGAACCCAAGCAGCGAGACGCCTTCAGGGTAAGAGGGCGACATACTAAGCCTCAGGTTTTTCTACCTTGTAATATTTACAATAATATCATATAATGGAGGTTTAGCCAGCTCATTAATGATCAAATACTAAAAAAATGCCAAAAAAAATCTATAAAAATAATTGTTTATTAAGTTTGATATATATGTAGGCACAAAATTGAGATATATTTTCATATGATAAGCTTTATTGAGTTCAGGACATAAGCCATCAAGTCAGTAGGAAACCCTGGATTCGTCAATTCTTTCTTTTTTTATATATATTTTTTGTGTGCCAATGTCGAAAAAAAAACTATTGAGAATCGTGGGCTACAACCAACAAATTAAGTACAAAGTTTATTAAAAAGAAAGAGAAATCCTTGAATCTGTCCTGAATGCCACTATAAGCTAAGGTTACGAAAAAAATGCGGTAGTGTGACAAAGTCCCCCCCCCCCCACACTCCTTCCCCTCTCCTCGCCCCACCCCCACACATTTACCATTTCCTAGTCCTTTCCATTTCCCTAATTTTTATTTAAAATTTTTATGCCATGTTCCTCTTTATCCTCTCCCATGTCCCCCTCCTCTTCCCCGTAAACCGTGGATATGTGTGTGGATCGCAAGGCATGGGGCATTGTGATAATTTAGTGTGTAAGGTGAAAGAGAATAACACCCCCCCTCTCCCCCCACAGCACCTAACGTCTCTCCTCCCCCCCTTCCCCCCCCTCCTCGAGAAATCCAGTCGTAACAGTTAATGTAAATGATACAGATACAATTTCTCCTTTGTGTGTGGTGCTTCGTAACTTAAGTTTGATAGTCTTAAAAATGATATTGATAATTACGGAGAGACGGAAGAAATAAACCCAGTAAGTGCCTATACGATTTTAGGAAAACCGTAAATCGTTTTTTTTTTATTATAGTTATGATTATGATTCATTTTTTTTAAACGATTAAAAATAACCTCACCTCCCAACCCCCCTCCCCACGCCAGCCCTTAAATATAAAGTAATTAGGTAAATTTTCAACAATTTTTATTTGGAACGAACAATTTGCTATTGATCATTCGGGGAAAAAAACGAAAACCAGAGGGTCATTCGATATTATGATCGAGTTTGTGATTAGGTATATTTTAATTCGGCAGGTGGTTAAAAGAAAAATAATAATCATGGCTCCGTTTTAGTCGCATCCAGCGATAGAACGAGTTCGAATACAATAAGAGCCAGACTTTTTTTTTAAGAGACTGGGAAAGAAAACTCAAAAAAAAAATAATAATAATAATAAAATAAAAAAAAATAAAAAAAAACCCTCTGGTTGTAATGCAATTAGTGACCGAGAACTTGTCCACCTGACTGTACTTCCGTTTCCACAAGTAGGAATTTTCAGTTAGGAGGATAGGCCTTTTGGTGGTGCCCCCCTCCCCCCCTCCCCTTCACCCCCTTATTAGCAGAAACAACACCCAAGAAAAAAGAAAACATAATCGTAATTGATAATGTAAAAAAATATATATATATTATAATAGTGATCATGTATGTACCTGGAATGCCATGCTGGTTGCCATGGCCTTGCGTGCACGTTGCCCAGTTCATGTTGATCCACACACATCGGTTCTCCCCCTCCCCCTCCCTTCTCTCCTCTCCTCTCCCCTTTCCCCCCCCCCCCCCCCTCCACCCATACACACAACCCTTGAAAATAGGATATTTAGCATTACGTTTTTGTTACTGTTTTCTATCTTTTTATACATTGGAATAGGAGATATTAAAAAGAAAGTAAAGTGTTGATTACTTTTTCTGGAATTATTATTATTATTGGTATTGTCTTGGCCAAAAAAATCATGTTTTTTTTTTTGTTTTTGTTTTCCTGTGGGGGTAAAAAAAAAATTGTCACCCCCCTTTAAAACCCCCCTGTGATTTTTTTAGGATGTTTATTTGGTTTTATTATTCATGTATTTTTTGGCTTTTTTTCTCTCTTCTTACTGGTTTTCTACCTTGTTGTTTCAAAGGTAGCTGTAGTTGTACCTTTCATTTAGTAAGGTAAAAGACTAGTAGGTGTTTCAAAGGAAAAAAAGAAAATGTTTAAAAAGTATTTTTTCGGGGGGGATGTTAACTGTTGCTGTTGGTATGGTCTCGCCTATTTTTTTTCTTCTTTTTCTTCTTCTCTCGTCCCCCCACCCCTTTTCCCCTCTCCCTACCCCCTCCCCCTCAGTTATATATATATATATTCTCTCTCGTGTCTCTCTATTTCGACCCTCCAATCTGTTATCTCAGACAGGCTGATTCACGAGGCGAGGGACTTTTTTGAGCGCGAAAGCTCTCTTAAGAATCTTGCCAAAAAAACGACACTTCTTGAAAATCTTTCCGAATGAGACCGCGTGCGTAAAAGGCCCACTGCGCGCTCTCGAACCTTGACACCGATTATACATAAGTTCTGTTATAAAGGCCTGTAAAAGGTTCGAGAGCTGCGGGGTCAATGGCGAACTTTTTTTTTTTTTTTAAAACCCCCTGTGATTTTTTTAGGATGTTTATTTGGTTTTATTATTCATGTATTTTTTGGCTTTTTTTCTCTCTTCTTACTGGTTTTCTACCTTGTTGTTTCAAAGGTAGCTGTAGTTGTACCTTTCATTTAGTAAGGTAAAAGACTAGTAGGTGTTTCAAAGGAAAAAAAGAAAATGTTTAAAAAGTATTTTTCGGGGGGGATGTTAACTGTTGCTGTTGGTATGGTCTCGCCTATTTTTTTTCTTCTTTTTCTTCTTCTCTCGTCCCCCCACCCCTTTTCCCCTCTCCCTACCCCCTCCCCCTCAGTTATATATACAAAACGACACTTCTTGAAAATCTTTCCGAATGAGACCGCGTGCGTAAAAGGCCCACTGCGCGCTCTCGAACCTTGACACCGATTATACATAAGTTCTGTTATAAAGGCCTGTAAAAGGTTCGAGAGCTGCGGGGTCAATGGCGAACTTTTTTTTTATACTTTGTTGCAGTGACTGAGGAATAGCAGTCTTGGAGGTTAGAGAGAAAGGAGGTTTTGTTTAAGAGAGAGAAAGGTAAAAGAGAGGGAGGAGGAAAGATGGAGAAGGGTAGGATGGATTCAGAAGTATATGGATAGAGAGATAGAGAGAAAGAAAGAAAGGAGGGAAAATAAGACTCGTTGGATGATGAAAAAGGAGAGAGGGAAAAAAGAAGATAACTTTGAAAAAACTCTCTCTTTTTCGCGTCCGAGTCTTAACGTCCAATGCAACGGTTGGGTTTCGCGAGTGCGCTCCCCCCCCTCTTCCCCCCCATTACATTCCTCATCACTTCATCACCATCACTTTTCACCAAGGTTCACCACCATCCCCATCAGCATCATCCCGCTCGCCAGTCATTACCATCACCATTTTATTTCACCATCAGCACCATCATCATCATCATCGTTAGTGCAGTGAGGTGGCTCCACATTAAAACGCTGGTCCATGTTTTGTCAACGCGACCACAATCTCATTATTTTAGAGCCTTGAATGTTAGTCAGGACTACTACTATTACTATTACTTTTGAAAGAAATTGTTGTAATTATTTTTCACACATGTATTATTAATATTCTCTTCCTTAATTTATTAATGAAATATTTTTTGTCAATTTATTATTTACTCGATTTTTTACTTCTCCCCCCCCCTTCATTTTGGAGAAAAAGTTTTATATTCTTCATCATCAAAGTCATTATAGAAGCGTATAGTTATCAAACAGAACACATTGTTATCACAAACTTGTTCATTGAATCATCATTTTCAAAAAAAGAAAAACATCATGCCAGGCTTGTTTGCCATACAGGTTGTTTTCAATAAAATGTTGAAAAGATATATTAGACTTTTGAGAACCATCATCCCCTTTGGAAAAGGAACCTAATAGGCCATTTTCATCCTTTTATATTGAACTCGGGACTGTTACTGAAAATACTTCGATGTTTAGTTGTGAATTTTCATACACAACTAAACTTGCGAACGATGACGAACGAAACACCAATGATAAAGGCCTGGTTTTTGTATTAATCATTGCTAGTACCATTATACTTTTATTATAATTTGGGCTTCTAATTCTTCATCTGTGACAAAAATTCATGTGATAGTTAGCTCAAGGAACCACCGCTCCCTCATTCCCCTCTCTTTTCGGAGTCTTAAACGTCCAATGCAACGGTTGGGTTTCGCGAGTGCGCTCCCCCCCCTCTTCCCCCCCATTACATTCCTCATCACTTCATCACCATCACTTTTCACCCAAGGTTCACCACCATCCCCATCAGCATCATCCCGCTCGCCAGTCATTACCATCACCATTTTATTTCACATCAGCACCATCATCATCATCATCGTTAGTGCAGTGAGGTGGCTCCACATTAAAACGCTGGTCCATGTTTTGTCAACGCGACCACAATCTCATTATTTTAGAGCCTTGAATGTTAGTCAGGACTACTACTATTACTATTACTTTTGAAAGAAATTGTTGTAATTATTTTTCACACATGTATTATTAATATTCTCTTCCTTAATTTATTAATGAAATATTTTTTGTCAATTTATTATTTACTCGATTTTTTTACTTCTCTCCCCCCCCCCCCTTCATTTTGGAGAAAAAGTTTTATATTCTTCATCATCAAAGTCATTATAGAAGCGTATAGTTATCAAACAGAACACATTGTTATCACAAACTTGTTCATTGAATCATCATTTTCAAAAAAAGAAAAACATCATGCCAGGCTTGTTTGCCATACAGGTTGTTTTCAATAAAATGTTGAAAAGATATATTAGACTTTTGAGAACCATCATCCCCTTTGGAAAAGGAACCTAATAGGCCATTTTCATCCTTTTATATTGAACTCGGACTGTTACTGAAAATACTTCGATGTTTAGTTGTGAATTTTCATACACAACTAAACTTGCGAACGATGACGAACGAAACACCAATGATAAAGGCCTGGGTTTTTGTATTAATCATTGCTAGTACCATTATACTTTTATTATAATTTGGGCTTCTAATTCTTCATCTGTGACAAAAATTCATGTGATAGTTAGCTCAAGGAACCACCGCACTGCTTGTCGCCTCATAATTCGTCTTCCCATCTACCGCCTACGTCAACAATAGGCTGTATGAGGAGAGAGAAATAACATTGAAAGAAAGATGAAAAAAAAAAAATTATCCATATGTGGCGCCCCCTCCCACCCCCCCTTTTTTCTCATTTTCATTCGGTAGGAGGGAAGGAGGAGAAAGAAGAGGAGGAGGTACTTATTGCTGAAGTGAATTTGACGAGGGAAGAGAGTGTATAGAGAAAGAGGAAGAAATGAGACAAGGTAGAACAGACACATGGAGGAGGGAGATAGACGAGTGATGTATTTTTCTGAGCCTTGGTGACTGAAGCCCCGCTGTGTGTTGGAGAAAGAGTGTATAGTGTATCATTGTATACTCCGAGCCATGCATCCAGGGAAGTCTGGTACTGTGGATGTTGGTTTCCTTTTTGAGTGAATTTTGGCTCAGCACACACTTGTCTGCTCCCCTTCTCTCTTCCTTGTCCCTCGTATCTACCCTTTCTTTTTGGACTCTTTCCACACACTCCTCTTCCCTTCTCTTCTTCCTTTTTTCTTCTTTCTTCGCCCGTTATTCCTTCTTCCCTTCCTCTTCCAATCGGCAGAGGTCGCGCAACACTGCTTTAGAAAAGATGACGATGTGTTTCAGGATCGTTTCTTTAGTACCATATACGGAGTCATATTTGTAATAATATCATTTCCGCCCGTGTTAATTTATATAATTATGTGAATATCTTGACAGGAATGGGAGGTGAATTCCCTCCTTATGGTATATATATATAAATGTATGCGCGCACCCATGTGTTGGAATATATGGAGGAAGCAAGGTGCCAAGTTCTGTAAATTATCTCAAGTGTTTTTAAAACAAAAAATACTTGGAAGGTGGAGTAAAAACAAAGCCATTTTCTTGTACTTGACCCTGTGCTCTGGAACACCTCAATAAATAGAGCTCAAGCAGGGAGGAAGTGCAAATAAAAGTTATCTTTTTAATAATGATCGTTTTATTTAACCACTTCGATAATATCCTACCTTTTACATGTGATCGAGTTTAAGATTTTTAAAATACTGTCCAGCTGGGAAAATATCTCACTGATAATACAAACAGACTCTGAAAACACTAATTAACTATTACATATATCTACAAACTTTTCCGTTTATTAATATACCGAGGATAACTTTGTTAAAGTGAAAATGAACGTGAACTTGACGCATAAACCTGGA